CGCAGGACACTTTCTCCGTAGCTTTCGCCCTGTACGGCTTCTATGATTCTTTGAACAACTTCTCCACGTTGATAGCTGGTGCGACAGGTCAATTGGTTTTCCCATTGTCTCCAGACCAACTGATGTTTGTGAAAATAACTTAGATGTCTAGTTCCACTATCCATCTTGAGACTTGAAGTCGTCGGGTCATCGTCACGCAATTGTACAGTGTCAAGCTATCGTAAAAATTCACTAGCCTTCCTCATGCCTCCATGATCCTCGTGGCCGACCTGATATTAGTCTGATGTTGAATGCTACTGCCATGCGCAAAGATATCGTTTTTTTATAAGCCACTCTCAGCAATATCATTGTCGTGTTTGACAGCTATTGAATTTTTGTAAAGACCTTTCTCGCCAGACTCATCCCCATATTGGACCCCAGTGGTAGTAATTATGACTCACTAAAGGATTTCGGTGCGATCATTGGCCATCGTCGGTACAGACGTTGTAATGAAGAAAGATCTAGATACGGCTGTGAACCTGCTAAATTGATGGTTAATTCATAGTGAAATGTTTTTATGCTCCTCCTAACGTCGCTGTATATATACCAAATTACTCCGCCGTGATCATTTAAGATCTGATTGATATGTAAGCCATTGAAAAGGCTAAGGTACAGAGACACTTATTCGGGTTTTACTAATTTTTATGATGTGACATTAAGTTGCTCAAGTTGAAGTGGGATAAGTTCATGGTCAGCGCTAAGTTGTACAAAATAGCTTGCTGCATGCTTGCGAAAGTTTATTGCGCGCAACATTAGCACTACTATCAGATTTTGTCAACCACGCAAGCTGCATGCTTTCGGAAATCCATGCATACCAGCGCGTGGTAACAATATTTGTGGTATTCACAAACTTGTAGGATTGCAAAAGACTAGATAATGGAATGTCACGAACGCAAAGAGCTTAGGTCGAAGTAAAATTATCAAAGTGCGTTGTTACTTCAAAGTTTGAAACAAAACAAAGGACCGCGGAATTACAAGAACTTGCCGATGCGAGTACATTAACTATTTTTTATTTAGCGCAGCTAGGGCCCGTAGTAATATTCGATCACTATCCATAGATCCAAGCATGATCGGTTATCTCTTATAAAGCAAGGACTGTTGAGAGAGCAGACGTTATGGATATCGTCAGATTACTGTTCTGATCATGCATTCCGATTTCAGACAAAATTTCAGTCGTTCATTGGTCTAGATAAGTCAACTAACAATCAGCAGGCTTAACGGTAACTCAAAGTAGCAAACTATGAACATTACATACTATATTTACTTCGGTTTTACCATCTCATCTCAGATTAACAGCCAAGCCTCGCTTAACGGCACCTTTCCCGCGATGACTACGAAATGCATCAAGATCCTCCTCATTAGAGGTAACTACTACCATTGGGGGTTTCTACATGAAAACAACCCTTGCAAGTAAGGGACTACTGGGGCACATCACGACCGTATAGGTTGAGAGCGGGATAATAGAGATGTGGCTCATGAGAGACGCCAAGACATCAGATATTATTGCCCAGGGCGTCGAAACTCAGCATCAGACCAAGATTCGGTCAGCTACTCTTACTTTGTAATCTTGGAGAATGCTGCGCGATTTCTACAATCGTTCTACTTTGCACAACCGTGCCGCGATAACACGTCTCCTCCGAAAATTTAATATGGAGAGTATCACTCGCATGGTGGAACATCTGGACGCGTTTCGCGAATCGATCGTGGCGCTCGCGATGACGGGAGAGTCAGTGAATGAGTCAAGATAGCTGGTGGTGCTTCTGAGCAGCCTGCCGTTGGAGCATGGGCTCAAATCTTCTTTTGTAGAAACCCCCAAGAAAATCACGCTATTTGGAGTCAAGCAGAAGCTGTCGAAGCAGCTGGAGAAGCGGCAGAAGCAGATGCTGTCAAAAAGGTGGCAGAAGAAGAAACCACTGATAAAGCATTCGCGTTGCTGGAAATAACGGCGGTCCAAGGGGGGACGAGGAAGCGGTCACAAGAGCTACGCATCGCGAAAGGACGGTGGTTTTAGGGGAAGTGCTTCAACTGCTACCAGACGGCCCATATAAAACGGGACTGCCCGGCTGAAAGTCATTCTTCAACCCATTTCAGCGGAAGCGATGCAGTATAAACTGTGCATGAGGACTGATCAACCGTTTGGTTAATTGATAGCGGCGTGACGTTGTACATGACCGCTCACCGGAGCGACTTAGTCGATTACAAGCGTGTTAAATCCAGCAGAAAGGAAAAGATTGCAGACGACAGAGAACTAAACGTTGAAAGAGCCGTTAAGGCAAAAACGATTTGTTCAGACGAAAGAGATATGTTTATGATGAAGTTGCGGCTTATCCCTGTCCTTGACTGTCGGTAAGAAAGCTTGCTGAACGTGGATAAAGGGTGGAGTTACAGCGTGCTTCGTGTACTAGATGGGACAAAACTTTGCTATGGCAACTGGAAGAAGGAACGGTAAAACTTACACGCTGGACTCTCAGCAAGAAAGGGCACGATCGGTGCAATACACGGGAGCTGTTTGTCAGAGGGAGCAATGGCTCGCACCCGTGTATCGATCATATAACCGTTGCAGCCAAGACGAGTGGAGAAATTTAAGAGATTTAGAGGAGGTTATTGGGTGTTTTTTAAATAATGAATGTCGGCTTGGTGAAATTTACATTGGGCGCAGAAATCGATCACGAAAGAACCGCGGCACCATAATGATCAAACAGACACGCTGCATTGGCGACGGAGTTGAGCGATTTGGCCAGAGAAATGCCAAGGACGTCGACAATCCATGTGCGTTTTTTTCAAACTGTCGATATCAAAATCACTAGGTGCAGAACCTAAGTGTTTTTAGAGATGCCCACAAGGCCATATTGCTCTTCAACTGACTTTTTACCGTATAATGTAACGTGCGCTCGTCCGGACATCGCATCTGTTGTCGCGCAGCTGTCTCGGTATCTCAATAATCCCAGCTTACAACATTGGAACACCGCAATTTGTGTACCACGTTATTTGAATTCGACTCGTCATCACGGGATTATCCATCAGGGTGGAACCGGAAACGTGGTTGTCAAAGCTGTAACGGATGCTGGTTGGGGGGTAACACTGATTACAGACGCTCTGTATCATTTGTTTTGATCAATATAGGTAACACTTTGGTCGAATATAAGACCAAGTACCAGAGAACCCTACCACGCTCGCAAAAGGAATATGGACATCAGGCACCATTGTATTCGAGAAAACGTACAGCATGAATTTATTGGAGATTGACTACATCAATACATAGAATCAACTTGCATATATGCTTTGGAACCAAGATATACAAGTTTCTGCGCAAGGCAACGGATAATAAGACCAAGTCAGTGACAAACCACTATATATATTAGCGAAGTGGGAGTTTTGAACATACATCGCTGAATGTTTGTGGATGACGTTAGGAAGAATTACGGTGACAGTCAAAATTACGGTCATAGTAGTTTTATTTATTACAATCTGTAGGGCAACGCAGAGTAACTAACTCAGGATCTTAGATAACTTATTTCTTCAAAGGACTATGGATAGTCCCGATATATAATGAGAATTGAACTGTTACAGCCATTGCGTTGCATACATGTACTACCTGATTATTGCGAAACTTTGATGTGCATCAATTGGCCATATTGAAACATCACTGTTCAACAAAAGAGCCAAAATCTTTGTCTAACTTGTCTGTGAGCAAGATAGGCATAAAATGCGTGGACAGCAGCTTTGCCAATTTAAATCAAAAGAGATGGCCGAAGTGCAGAGATAGACAGGGCAGGTGTTGCTTCTTACACTCATTTGAAACATATACTACATTTGGTCGGCTAAAACATACAATACATTTCTGCTTTAAAGCGGTGTCTTCGTTTGGGCGAAGCAACTAATTGTGCGAACTTGTTTGTAGGACGGAGCAAAAGGTATCATTTTGTACCCAGATTTTTTTTTCGTGAATTCTATTCAAATACTCACTTAGAGTGTCAATAAGGGGCCAGCAGACGCACGAAGCTCTATAGTCCGAGCTTGAATGAACTTAAACTGTTGTTCATACAATCTACGCTATTTAATAGCAAACACGTAGGCACTTGAGCTCCACACATTCCGTATCAGTTTGCAAAGATGTATAATCTTCAAAGCTTTGTGATTTAGTCGTGTTTTACAGCCTCTTATCAAATCTCGCTCTGAATTTCGTGCTTCATAGCTTTGTGTGAAAATTGAGCGACATGTTATACAGATCGGAGGGAGAGTTTAACTAGTATGGTATGTATCATGTGGATGTGTAGGTTATACTGCAATCTTGCTGCTGACAAAAGAAAATGATATGCGAAATAGTAAAGGCGATATGCATCAAGACTTTACTTGAAAAAACTCATGTTTAGTAAAGACGATAACAGCTGATGCGGTACGGAGTACAGTATCGATCAATCGTCACTCGAATTTAGGGCTTGAGACGTCAGTATACAAGGCTTTTGAAGTCGTTACTTACAGTGTCTCAGCCATCCACCTGACTTCGAGGACCGATCTTACAGTGCTGCTTTTGAAGAACCTACTCTACACATAAAATCACACTCCGACGAATGTCCATGTCAGCATTCAGCACTTGCCAGAAAAATCCAGAATATTTCTCTTCCCCGACAGCGGCACTACCTCAATGAAGCTCTTTTTTCCTTCCTTTCAGCGCTGGCTCTTGTTGAAGGTGTTTATCAAATTCCTGATGACTTCCCGACATGCTCGGTGGTAGGTGGACCAGGCGGGAAAGAGTTTGACGATTCCGACAAGTTAGAACATGGACAAAAAGTGAAGTCTATCACGATATGTCATGATCATCGCGTGGATGGTCTTGGCATTAGTTTCGTGCCTCCGAATGGCATGAGTCAAGATCCGTTTCACGGCAGTAGAGATAGTTGTCGTACTCATGAATTGGCTTCTGACGAATACATTACACACTGGGAAGCGCAAACTGTAAAAGCCGACGATAAAACTAGAATTAGCTACATCAGATTTATGACCAACAAGAAGGTTACTTTCGAAGGAGGTCACGAGACATCGAATGAAAACAACAAGGCGGGTTGCGACGCTCCCCCAGGATATCAACTTGGCGGATTCTATGGGCGCGCAGGACAGGAGATTGATGCGGTTGGTCCAATTTGGGTCAAGCTAGACCCTCAACAGCCACAACAAGTTTCTGACGCGCTTCAGCAGACTCGAAATTAAGAATCAGCTAGTTGATATCGGCGACGATCTCACTCTGAATTCGTCTGACCAGGCTTCAGATTTTATTGTCGTCTTTTCGTCGATTTATCATTTGCTGTTGCTCGTAACTGTTTAGCTGTTCCAAATCTCACTTGTTAAGGCTATGACCGTAGAGAAATACAGTTAAAAGTCAGTGAAAACACTTTGTATGTCATGCTTTCCCGTGTAGATGTTGTAATATTTTTTCAAACTCTATTCTTCCCGCTCTTCCTAGAAAATGATTTTGTTGAAACTTTGATACGGCTCCAAATGAAAATGATATTATAATCCTATGTCTCTTCGTTTACTCTGCCGTAGTGATGTACGTTCTGGTCTCCTTGCCATTAAAGAAGACAACTAGAATCTGGAAGACCTAATCAAATGATGAAAAAAGAACGAATTTGACAGAGTACAGAAATTATCTAAGAAGAACAGCCAAAACGCGAGACTGTCGTCTCACAGCATTTTAATGCGAGCGTGCTCGATAAAATGCAACACGACGGTGGCATTTCTGGATGCAGATCACACTCAGTAAATGTGCAGTTTTGATCTAATATCTCCGCAATCTCCAGTACTGAATAATTTTGAATCCCTTCATTTTTTTAATCTATGACCAATGCGCTAACGCCAGTAAATAAGGCTCGCGAACAATCTGCAGCCTGTATGTCTGTTTATATTCAAGAGCTTGAGATTTGTGAAAAATCTAACGCAGATTAGCCTAGATTGAGCTTTCAAATCCCGCAATGACAAAATTTGATCAAACTATGCGGGTACATACGTCATCTGGTAGCTCTTATCGTTGACAGAGCATCTGTATGGCTGGTAATTTGGTGTAGTTATGTCAACATTAGAATGAGAAAGACATAGGAATGTAAGTAACAAATTTCACTTCGGGCCTTACTATCAAATCAACGGATTAACAATTGCAACCAAGCCTTCCTTTACTACACCCACCATCCGTATCCGCAATGACCAACAAGTGGATTTAACCTTTAATACTGGGAGTCCGATATGAGGATGACTCTGGCGAGCCAGCCATGTCTTGGCCATCAATGATGAGAGCGATATCACGAAGATTGTCTTGTGAATGACTAAGGCTCGTTGCGCAAGGCGTTTAATTCATCATCTGACCAAGATATCAGCGCTATGAAGGCATGAAAACGCAACGTGATATTTACAACTGCTCAACAATGTACAATCGCATGACGAAACTTTCCGACTCAAGTTGGAAAGTGGTAGTAGCATGGTGGAACATTCCAAATGTTTTGATAAACTATATGCGAAACTTCAGACAACGAGAGTGTTAGCTGATGGATCGTGCCAGGTGGTGGTACTACTCAGCAGTCTGACGTCAAAACTCGATTTAATATCACCGATTATGATAAATGCAAAGGGATTGAAGCCCTGGAGAAAGGGTACAGAAAGGTAAGGCGGCTACGGAGAGAGCTCTCGCGTAAATGGAAATGGTGAGAGATTCAAAGTTGGACGGGGAAACGTTCAAAAAGTTGTATTCGACGAACTAACCGTGATTTTAAGAATATGTGTTATAAATGTGATCTGTAAGTCATGTACAAAGGTGGGAAACCAACTCAGCAGTGATGTTGTGGTATTTGAAGCGGGAAAAGGACGATCGGTAGACTGGGTTATAGATAGTGACATCACATCTCACATGACCCAACACAGGACGGATTTGTGCAAATAAAAGAAAGGTTTTTGAGAATAGTATCGAAGTAGCAATTATCGACGTCAACATATAAGTCGTCAAGGATCTGACACGATGATTGGTATGGTGGATATGGGACTCGCCTGAAGTACGTCTGATATATATTAAGACTTGACAGAATATTGTTGTCGGTTGGCAAGCTTGCAAAACGTGGTATGATTGTGAGGCTTTCGCGCTCGTCGTGTGTCACTGAAGCAAAATAAAGGCGAATGCATCAGGTATAAATCGTAAAATTGTTCATGTTAGACTGTGAGAAGGAACTAGCACGTTTCGTGGAGTTTATGCTCAGTGTGAGCTTTGGTAATCTCGCAAGGGAGAAAAAATATTCAAGACAAAGATTACAATTACAGGTATACTGATGATCAAGCATGAAACAGACACATTATGTGCTAGGGTTTTCAACGAGTACGCTGATAGCCACGGTATTTTCGTCCCGTTCGATGACAAAGATGACAATTTTTTACAGCGCGTGCACAGCTATCATGGATTCAACGGAGACTCCGTCAAAGGGATGAGCAAAAAATCATTTTTTGGAAATGATGTTTCAAAATGTGTTGCAATTTCTTGACCAAGAGCAAGAGTGAAGTTTCGTGCAGGTCCAAGGAGTTGAAAACTCTTCGGAAATATTTTGAGATTCGATAACGAGATAGGACACTAAAAAAAGACGATAGTAGACATTCGTTTCGTTCCATATGAACCTCAACGGAATTAAGGTGCACAGCGTATATACAGGACTCTCATGGAATGGCACGCAGTATGAATTGCTACAATAATGTATCAACTGAATGAAGGGCGGTAGGAGTGAACACAGCAATCAAAATGATTAGTCGCTCGACGAATACAGCTCATCCCGACATCACGCCCTATAAGTTGGCTTTTAAGAAGGAGCCCGTAAGTGATCACTTACGCGTGATTGGCTCGCAGAATTTCGCTCATGTCGACGAATCAAAGAAACAAAGATCCAATGCAAGAGTTTCCCACGTATGTTTCTGAGTTATGAAGAAAACGTCGATGGTTATCGCATGTTTGACTTAGATTATGCCAATGTCAAAGTGACCCGGTCTATAAGGTTGGATGAGCTTGAAGTAGGTACACGGATGCCCTACAGCCAAAAGCGATAATATAAGCCATGCAAGACAGGGATTATGGTTATGCTCAATATATGTGGATCGACGGCCGCTTCGAGATGAATCTATTAGCTTTTTCGGCGAACCAGCCACAGACATCAAAATGGACGAAGCTATAAACAGGAATTGGTGCCTTTCGAGGGCTCTATTGAAAACTGTTTGGGGCTAGCAGACTATCGACCATCCCATTTTACGCGTGAGATCGTTTGGTGTTTCGGCCTGACGTGCAGTGAACAAGATGAAAAATGAGCTGATGTCTATGCCGCAGAGTGGCTCAGATGATGAAGATTTGACAGAAAGAGGTAATTGCCCACCGACACTGAAACGAGCTAAGATCAACGACGACAAACTTATTGCGGATGCTGTTCTTGCGTACATGTTGTGAAGTAAGGATGATACGGACTTGCCGGCCACATATGCTAAAGTGATGGGAATCAACGATGCAGCAAAGTGGCTCGAAGAGTTCGAAGCTGAGATTTGTTGTCAAGTTCATAACCGAACATGGAGGTAAAAGCCAAGGAGAAAACAATCGCACAATCCAGTCACAATGGGTATTTTCCAAGAAGCGTGATCGAAATGGCACTGTTGTGCGGTACCAGGCACGGCTTATTGCGAAGCGTTTCATACATTGTTGCTTGGCAACAATGTATGAGGTCGAGTTCTTCGAAACTTATTACTCGATCGCCAAATTGAATCCGATTAGGATGGTATTTGCAGTGTGTGCCCAGCGCGGCAATCAAATGGAACGACTGGATGTTGATACTGCTTTCTCATTTGTGTGCTGGTAGGCAACGTTTATATGGAAGTTTCACTGGGTGTCGACAATACTTAGGAATTTGTATGTCAGCTGAAAAGAAATATCTACGGATTGAAACAAGCAGCAAGTGCCTAGATCAAGACAAAACATCGTGTGAATATTGACTTTGAGGCTAATGGGGATGCAGAGCGATTACGTTAATCAATTCTTGGAAGGTTTTATTTACATTCGAGAATCTGTAGATGACATAATCGTCGCAGCTAGTACTAGCAGGGAGATACATGAGAAAGAATACTCCATAATGCATTAAATATGAAGAAGTTAGAGAATGCGGTGTTGATTTCGGGCTTATAAACTGACTACGACAGGACATCCAACTTACAAATAATTTAGCATACTTGCTACACCGACGACGTGGCAGGACGTTGTGGTCAACAAGATATCCAGAGGTTTCACTCAACAATCGTGCGCATAGGATTGAAGATGTCGTCGTCGCAGTCGCCAACGACCGTTGAGGGTGATTCGGTGATGGCTTGGACGTATCAATTCTTGATTAAGTGATGTGCACAACGACATCTGCTCGACCGAACGTTGCATACGCGATGACAAGGCTATATCGTCCCTAAAGAACCCCCGGACTGCAACATCAGATACGAGCTGTTAGCGAGCTACGCTACGTGAAGAGTACATGCCATACCAGTATCATCTTCCAAAGGCAGTGGTAACGTTGCGGTTATGGATATTTAGATGCTGATTGGGGCAGCAAACCGATGATAGATACTCGGTCTAAGGAGTCGTCGTGATCATGATTGCAGGAGCGTCAGTGATAAAGCAAAGAATGAGAAACGAATTACGTCAAGCAAATGTGTGAACGTTGTAGTCTACAATGAACGTGGTGAAAGCAAGATAATGCGTTACGTGCAAAATTCAAATTTCCCAAGTCTGTTTTTTGCGTTGATGAGCAAGAAAACGCTTGAGCGTAGCCTAGCAAAAAGGCAATTTTGTAAAAGTTGCGATTGTCGAAGAAGCTATCGACGATGTCATCGACACAGCGGAAGTATCAATGGGAAGGTACGGAAAATTATCTCTGATGTGCAGTCGTGGCATGCTCTCGGAAAATTCCAAACATGGACTTGTCAAGGAATATGCTGACATATTCTGCTGGAGTTTGTCCAACAGGACACAGGCATTCGTCACGAAACAGATGCACTTTCAACTTTGAAGTGCTGTATCACAAGGAAATGGTCGCTATCGAAGGAACGAGTCGATGCGATTGACAAACTGCTCGCGCAGCACAGGAGGCTGGTCATGTGCATGAGTGCTAGTCTCCGCGCCACAGGATATCGGCATATTGCTTAAGCTTCCAGCAAATCCG